AGGTGGAGACAGCCCCTTGGAAGCGTAAGGCCTGGCGTCGGTCACCAAAGAAGACTTTAAGCCATGGTATAAGACTTCTCCGAAATTCGAGGTCAATAGCTTTGTTGATGAATAAAGTGTGTGTGTGTGTGTGTGTGTGTGTGTGTAATAATAATAATAATAATAATAATAATAATAATAATAAATGGTTTATTAATAGAGTTGCAGCCGGTGGCTGAAAATATACAAACTAACATTTGAATTAGACATAATGATATACCTTCAATACATTAACAGGGCTGTACAGTACATAAATCAGGAGTTATGGGATGGTGCTATTCTTATATCTATCGGTGTGGGCTCTTATGGGTTTAATTTTGTTGTAGTATCGGACTGCGCGAAGTGGGTGGGGGACTGCCGGTGGCAGGAGGTGGCGATGACGAGGATGGTGCAGTAGTCCACTACCAAACCTTGCTAGTGCTTGGTGGTGGAGGTCACTGAGGGATGGCATTTCCAGGGTGGAGAGAGCGTTGATGTAGCCGGAGTAGTCTGCGCCATTTTCTGTGCCTTCTCCAGCCGACGTTGTTGGGTGGAGTTGAGAGAAGACGACCAGGCTAGTGACGCATACGTTAAGTTTGGGGAGAATAAAGGCATTGTAGATGGTCCTCAGCTCTGGCGTGGGTGTCCCAAGTGACCTAAGTCGTCGTAGCATGTAGAGCCGGTACTAAGCTGCCTTGATTGTGTTGTTTACATGTGTGTGTGTGTGTGTGTGTGTGTGTGTGTGTGTGTGTGTGTGTGTGTCTATTTGTCTGTGTTTCTGTATATCCGTATATGTATATATGAATATTTATGTGATTGTGTTCATGTGTGTGTGTGCAATCTGTCATTTGTTTGTTTGTTTATTTGCTAGTTTTACCTTATGATTTCCATTTACTTGCTTGTGTTGTTGTTTATCCGGCCGCTTTTATTGAATTCACTGACGCTCTGACCCTCTCTCTCTCTCTCTCTCTCTCTCTCTCTCTCTCTCTTATTCACCTGGCTACTATTCTTATCTCTCCAATAGGTCATATATACTATCTACTGCCTACCCTTATGTTTCTCAGAAGGTCCTAAGTTTATTGGATCGCTTGAGGATTAGGCTCTAATTTATTTCACCTTATGATTAAATACCCCAATGGTGCCTGGGAGTTATATTTATTTAGCTTAGATTAGATTGAATTAGGGCAGGATAGGTAAGATTAGATTGAATTAGGTTATGTTAGGTTAAATTAGACTTGGTGAAGCTATGTTTAGTTAGGTTAACGTTAGGGTGGTTAATCATCAGGTGACATAGGCTAGGAGGAACCTAATCTTCACGTGATCCGTTAAACGTTTCTTCGATGACAAAAAATTCTAATGTGTTCGTATGTTAAATTTTCCTCTCGACTGAAGGTGTGAGAACGTATCTTAGTGACTCATATACGCTTCAACACACAGATGGATAGATAGATTCTCAAAAGTTCTTAGGACAGTTTCCTCCCCGTAACTGTAAATGAGAAACCGCATCTAATTGCAGTATTACAATAACGTTTCAGTGTAATTTCGTCGCTATTTACACTTACGAGCCTCTAAAATCTATCTTTGTATCGTACCTTAAGTGGGCCGGTTATTTAGGAGGGAAAATTTTGTTACGAGCTTTTCAGAATTCCTCTTTATGTCGTATTTTAAGAGAGACCGCTAAGAGAGAAGCTTCACTTGCAAACCATTGAATCTCTGGGTCCAACGAGACTCATTTTGTCTCTATCTCCCCCACTCTCTTCCAGTCTCTCCTGCTGTCTCTTCCCCGACCATTGTTCTCTCCTGCTGTCTCTCATCCGGCCATTGCTCTCCCTGCTATCTCTATCACCCTCGTTACTATGGTGATACGAGGCCCTGTGATAAATAGGTGTTCTAGTTAGGAGAATATGGTGATGGTAGGAGAACATGGTGATGGTAGGAGAACATGGTGATGGTAGGAGAACAGGGTGATGTTTAGAGAACATGGTGATGGTAGGAGAACACGGTGATGGTAGGAGAACATGGTGATGGTAGGAGAACATGGTGATGGTAGGAGAACATGGTGTTGGTAGGAGAACATGATTATGGTAGGAGAACACGGTGATGTTAAAAGAACATGGTGATGGTAGGAGAACATGGTGTTGGTAGGAGAACATGATTACGGTAGGAGAACATGGTGATGTTAAAAGAACATGGTGATGGTAGGAGAACATGGTGTTGGTAGGAGAACATGATTATGGTAGGAGAACACGGTGATGTTAAAAGAACATGGTGATGGTAGGAGAACATGGTGTTGGTAGGAGAACATGATTATGGTAGGAGAACATGGTGATGTTAAAAGAACATGGTGATGGTAGGAGAACATGGTGTTGGGAGGAGAACATGATTATGATAGGAGAACAAATTAGATCAATAAGGGAGAAAGAAGAACGAGGAAAGATAAACATACTCCAGCTCAAGGCGGTTTATTCACGAACATCAACAAGTAAAATTTGGCACGGCTGTGAACACATGTGTCTGTTTCACTGACCTAACACATTTATAGTATATACACCAACACCTCTTAGTTGGATCGTAACTGACAGAAGTGGATCAGGCTCTCTCTCTCTCTCTCTCTCTCTCTCTCTCTCTCTTACCCCTCGATAGCCAGATAGCCACAGCCTGATGGTTATTATCAGGTAGAAGCCGAATGATTAACTTCCCGTAATCTTGTTGTTATGTGATCCGGGTATAATATACATGTTCGGTCTCCACATCATTCATGCAACATTACGCACATGTGGATGCGAAGGAGTTATGTCGAACAAATGGTTATCATTATAAAAATAATTTGTTTCGTCGTATTTGGTCGTGTTGACATGACAACATGATTTCACCTCAGAGGATGTGGAACAAGCCGTCGGGTTTTGGGGTCAAATGACATGACAGGCCATGGAGGGAGTTTTTACAAAGTGACTCAAATCTTACTTCGGATCACCTGAAGATAGCATGAATATTAGGTATTCCAGCTTTTATGACCCAAACGCTTCCTATGGGATTAGGTTAGGTTAGCGCTACGTTTGGTTAGATTAACGTTAGGTTAGGTTAGGTTAGGTTAGGTTAGGTTAGGTTACTTAATCACCAAGTGAAATAAGCTGAGGTTCCTAATCTTCATGCAATCCCTTGCCCCATATACATATTAAAAGACAAACGCATGAGACAGTTGGTTAACGATGCGTGATACAAAAGCTTTATTATGCACATGTGACATGTCTTTACTCATGACTAGTAGCAAATGGATCGCCTGAAGAACAGACACCTTAGCGTATTTCACCCGATGACTTATTACCCGAAAATTAACAAGGGGGTCTATGTTAGGTTAAGTTAGGTTAGGTTAGGCTAGGTTAGGTTAGGTTAGGTTAGGTTAGGTTAGGTTAGGTTAGGTTAGGTTAGGTTTGGTCTCCTTTAGGTAAGGTTAGGTGTGTTAAGTTAAATTAGCGTTAGGGTGGTTAATATTCAGGTGAAATAAACCAGGGTTAGCTTCAAGTAATCCCAGTAAACACCTGGTCGTGAAGACTCGACAGAAATTCCTGACAGTACAGACAACTGTTCGTCTCCCGCTAAATATCCTCCAACATTTCCGTAATCTAATTCAGCTGTGGAAAATGTTGAATAATTGTGTTGGTTCCAGCAGGTCGGCTGTTACGCCCCGCGAGGTTTGACGTTGGACGAAGTCATGTCCACACTCTATATATACACACATACACACATACAGTATATATACAAACACATACACACATGTATACATTTTCACACACATATGCAGTAAACCACACACACACACACACACACACACACACACACACACACACACACACACACACACACACACACACACACACACACACACGAACAAAGAAACAAACAAATACACACGACCACCGACGTTTGTACAATATATTTTTCAGTGAAAAACGTAGAGTGTAAGACACGTAAGGGCAGATCCAGCCGGCTGTACACACTATACACCCCAGTACACACCCCAAGTGAAGGTAGGGCGAAAGGGAGGGATACACACACGGGGTATTTAGACCTCCCTTCCATTTTCCTCTTCCTTAGGGATGCTTATACTGTTGCTAAACTTATATGCAGTGATCTTAAGGTTATATCCTGCCCTCTGATCATTTTCAAGGAGTTCTGAGTCTAATTAAGAGGATCTGATCCCTGTAGAGCATTACGATCTACTTTAGGAAATTTTGATGTTCCTTCGAAGCTTTTAAGCTTCTTTGAGATTCAGATCACTTCTTTAGGAATTCTGGCCCTAAAGAAGGGATTCGGATCATCTTTAGGGATCCTACTAATGTCTGAAGGGATTCTGATTAACCTTCGAGATTCTAACACCCGTATTATTAAACAACAACTTCCCCTGAAGAGGGTCGTCGTGTTTCAACCCGAGTTTTAAACTAAATGAGTCCTGAGGGACACCGCAGTACAGTACTTAACGGGGTGGTGTGGCGGTAAAATTAACTAATTCCAATATTATAAACTAATTTTATTGGAATTAGTTTTATTTTACCGCCACACCCCGTCAAGTACTGTACTGCGTTGTCCCTTAGGATTCATTTAGTTTAAAACTCGGGTTGAAACACGACGACCCTCTTCAAGGGAAGATGTTGTTTAATAATACGGGCTTAATTCTCTTCAAGCAAATCAAATCAATTTTAAGAGATTCTGATAGCCTTTCGGGATTGTGATTGTCTTTAGAGACTGATCTTTTTAGGGAATTCTGTTCCTCTTTGGGGATTCTGATTACTAAGAAGGAATTCTGATCATTCTCATTAAGTAAGCCTGACACTCTTCCCGGTTTTCTCAGTCAACGAGGAACAACAGTGTACAGGCTACGTCATCCACGCCGATATTTTTCAAGGACACAACGAAGAATATCGGTATACATATCGGGAGAAGAAGCCGGTGTTGCGATCGGTGTGGCCTGAAGTCGCGACCACTTTTTTTTTTTTTACAGTCTGGGGCTTGTGACCCCGTAATGAGCGATGGTGTCCGTCCAACCCCATGTCCCTTCCACTCTCCGTCTTTCCGTCGTGGGCATCTTCGTTGTTGCGATCACAGTCGCCTCTCTGCAACCATCGGTCCGCTGTTTTGAAGGTACATGTCGTCGTGTTATTGACGCTCCGTAACGTTGAAGACCTGATGCCCTGGATGATATGTTCAGTGTGGAGGGCTCCGTGTCACTGCCCCCGGCATTGGTCTTGTTGTCAGTGAGCATCGAGGTATCGCTGTCCACTGCCACCATATCTGTAAGACAAACCAGTAACACGATTAGCTAACATAACCTGAGTAAGGGAAATGTTACCTCTTCCAGTTGTCCGTGCAATATTTCTTGTTACTTCCAATTTTCTGTGAAACAAACAGACTACAGTGGACGCTCTCAACCCTCTGCATTTATTGGTTAAATGGAGCAATCCCCCAATGATATGAGTTATAAATAATGACACCTTCATTGGTGAGCTCTTAGGCGACTCGGTATGCAGTCGGAATAACTCGAAAGTATTGACACCTCGTGTGGTGCTCCTCCAAGCGTTACGGTGTGGAGTGGTGGTCTCCCAGGTGTGGGGGGTCGATTTGGCACTTTTTCAGGTTTGTCTTAAGACTATCCTTATACCTTTTCCGTTTTCCACCAGCACTACGTTTACAATTCGTTAGGCGATTGTACAGTAGCTGCTTTGGAAGTCTACTGTCCCCCATGTTAGTAACAGTGCCAGTCTAATGTAGTTGTTCATTGATAATGGTAGCCTTGATTCTCCTCCTGTTGGTGTCAGCGAAAATACTGGCACTTGTTCTCCTGTCTTCCCAGCATTGGTGAAAGTTTTCAAGTGCCTTGAGGTGCCTCCTGTATGTGACCGATGTCTCGCAGCCATACAGCAGCTAGGGTAGGACCACTGATCAATAAACGTTCAACTTTGTAGATAATTTCAGATCCCTTTAGCTGAAGAAACGGGTAAGGAGTCTGCCAAACGATTGAAATGCTCATCTAATCCAATGTTGAATCTCTTCATCGATGTCCGCAGTGGTGGAAAGGTGGGAGCCAATGTAATGAAAGTGGGTGACATTAGAGGGGGTAGTACCGTTAACATGGATGGATGGTGGAGGTGGGGTTGAACCAGGGGCAGGTTGAAAGAGAATCTGAGACTTACATACATTCACCTCAAGGCCGAAATGTGCATACGCAACTATGTAGGTGTTCAAGATCTTCTGTAGGTCGCGTTCAGTGTGAGCGACAAGGGTGAGGCGTCTGCACACTGAAGTACAGTGATGGAAGCGCCCGACACCTCTGTTCCGGCCTGGAGTCGTCTTATGTTGAAAAGACCCTTCATCCGGTACTGGATGTCCACCTCGCCGGCTAAATTGTCAATGGCAAGATTAAGAAGGCAGCCCAAAAAGGGAAAATATATTTGTTGCCAATATACATATTCATGGGGAAGAACTCAGACTGGGTCCCATTGAGCAGGACACTACCTTTTATGCCATCGTGGAGCTGTCTCATAATGACAATGAATTTTGGTTGGCAGCCAAAACGAAGACCTCCCTGTTGACCGAGTCGACGGCCTTAGTAAGGTTGATGAAAGCTATGTACAATTAAAGACAAAAGTCTTGTCGAAGTTTGTCCGAAGATTAAATATAACTCGTGAAACATTATGAGAGCCTCCCACCACAAGGCAGAGAGCACCAAAAGTTTAGTCCTTCGGCATATGTTTTTCCAAATTTCACGATACGACTTTTGTCTTTCATTGTACAAGTCACAACGCTGTTCTCTGTGCTTTTCCTGTATCTGGCAGGCATTAAAGATCATGTCAGTGGTGCCATGTGATGTCTATAGCCACATTCAGATTCTGGAAGGAAGTTTTCTGCCTCAGGATGAAGTCTGTTTACTAGGACTCGGGCGATAATCTTCCTAGCTACAGACAGCAGCGAGATCCCATGGTAGTTGCCTCAGTCTGACTGGTCTCCCTTGTTTTTATAAATATTAACAATGGAGGCGTCTTTAAGAAGTCGGGGATTTCCTCTTTCTTCCATATATTCTCCTTGGCTGCGATTCCAACAGGGCCTGTTGCTTTGTTATTTTTCATCTGCTTGACGGCAGTACCTACCTCATCCCTGGATGGAGATAACTGAGGTAGTCTGAACATCCACATCGGTGTTTTGGTTGAGCACCGAATGGTATTGCTCTTTCCAGCACTGACGGACGTCTTATTCGTCTTTAATTAGGGCCTTATTATTGGATGAGTGGAAGGGGACCGTGCCACGAGAATTTGGGCCATGAATTATTTTGTAGAATTGAAAAGTTCCCGCATCTTGTGTTTATCCGCTTTTTTTTGGCGTTTCACACGCTATATTCTTCCACCATTCATTCATTAGTTTGCGAAGTTATCGCTGGGACGCCACTTTCTACTCTTGCAATGAATTAGCTATGGTCGGAGCCAAAGGGTTGTTCTGCCAGTCAGTGAAAGTCGCACGTTTACCTTGGACGAATGCGTTGATTTCATGTTATTTTCATCAAACCAATGCTGGTGTTTTCTTCCGATCTGGCCAAGCATCTCACAGCAGATATTTGTCTGACAGCGTAGAGGATACCCCATTCGGCACTAGGATTTGGGTTGTTTGTTGTTGAGTTGTTTTTCAGTCCATCGTGGAGCTGCTCTCTGAAAGCATGTTTTACCTCTTGATCCTCCAATCCCTTGGTGTTAAAACTTCTTCTGGAGGCTTGTTGCCTTAACCGTTTTGAGGCAGTGTGAAGTGAGAGTTTGGCTTTGACGAACCGATCATCTGTGTCATAGTGGTCTCAGCCACACATAGCTCGGGTGATGAGGATATCTCGACGATCTCTTTCTCTGACAATTAAGTAGTCAATGAGATGCCAATGTTTGGATCTTTGGTGCTGCCAAGAACCCTTGAACTTGTCGCCCTGCTAAACAAGGTGTTGGTGATAGTGAGGTTGTGTTCAGCACACTTGCTGAGGAGGAGTAGGCCATTGGGATTACACTTGCCTGTTCCGTTTCTCCCTATGGTTCCCTGCCATATGGCAGTGTCTCTGCCAAATCTGGCATTGAAGTCACCCAGGAGTACACCCTTATCTTCTCTGGGGATACAGGTTAGCACTCTGTCAGGGTCTCCTTGATGTCACCCTCTGCATCCAGTGCTAGGGCATATGTACTGATGAAGAAGGCATGGCGTGAGTGATTCAGTGGGACTCGGAACGTTAGGAGGCGCTGGTTGTTCCCAACAGGCATTTCAGTTGGCCTATTTTGGTTGGATTGGCGAATGGCAAAGTCAACTCCATAAATGTTGTTTCTCTCTACAGCAGGCTTACCCATCCAGAAGAAGGTATAGCCAGACGTCTGTTTTGTGTGTCGACCCTCGTCTGGGGGCCGGGATTCACTAATGGCTGCTATGTCGATGTTATACCCTGACAACTCTTTTGCCACAAGGACGGTTCTTCTTTCAGGACGTTTATTTGTGCCAGTATCCAGACGGGTCCTGATATTCCATGCAGTGATCATGAAAGGTTGTGTAATTTGGTTTTGCTTTGATCTGTGAATATGATTACATTTTCGACCACATTAGGATGATTTCACTGAGTGCTGTTGCCCAGTCAGGTTGATTTTATAGGCAGACTATGTTTAGGGTACCGTTTCTAGCCCCTTCCTCATGTTAGGTGAGCAGAGTGTCTCCTGAAATGGGCTGTTCAGTCGCACACACACAGGACTGGATTGTACTTCTGTCAAGAGCTTAGCGCATAAACAGCCATCTTATCTCTACCGCCCATGTGCAGAGTTGTGATGAGCTGGATGATGGCTGTGTGTGAGTTGATTTATTATGTGAGGCGGAAACATAGACTCCAACCACACATCTTGGCTCTCTCTTTTTCTGATCCAGTGGTGCAAGTAGCTGCAACAACTGGGAGAGGTAGAGTTGCAATGGACTGCCGATAGCACAGTTTGTTGCGTTTCGCCTTTGTAGCGTGTCCATCTTGCAATGCCTTTATCTGCCATTGGGTTCCCTTGTTGGTCACCTCTTCCACCTATTCCATCGCTGGGTCCTTACTGGAGCTCTGTAAACATGAATGCCGGATGTGGGGCTCCACTGTATATTTTTAGTTCAGGGTTTACTCCTGTAACCTTATATTTACCAAGGTTAATCCCCAAGGCTGCGGAGCAGTGGTTGGTAGGCGCCAGGACGAGTTCACATGCCAGTGAGCCTATGCACTTTCCCTGTGAGGCCCACTGCTGCTCCGAGATCACCTGCTGGTCAAGCGTGGGGCCGCGAAGCACCCAGTTACCGTGTGTTGTCACAAGGAGGCACAGCAGGAATCTTGGTGGCGAAAAAGCTGTGCACTGGCAGGGAAAGACTTACGCAAAGCTGCTTCCCTGTTCACCGCAAGGGCTAGCCGGCGGCTGTAGCTGAAACGGAAAGGAAGCAAGCAGTGCCTGCACCTTAACACTTATATAATGCTGCCACACTAGACGCATTGCGCACACACATTCACACTTGACCATCTACCACAGTAGTAAGGAAACGTCCTATCGGCGCCTCGCAAGTGGCTAGCACGGGGTTGCCTTTAACCCTCCTTTCCAATTCCCTTTAAACCGTCCTCCCGACCAAGAAATCAGTGCAGGGATTGCTGATCAATTCTTCACAACGATTAATATACAGTGACAATTTCAACTCGGAAAGAATGGAAACACCAATGAGGTAATGGACCATAGGAGGGCGGAAGGAGACACTATCGGCCCAAACCTATTAACACTCAAGTGCCAAACCCTGGACACTTTTTGTGAAAGTTCCTCGTCAAACCATGCGGGATAAACCATACGACTACACCAAGTGTATTGAGGCTGGCGACACCATGTGGATTGAGGCTCGACATCAACCAGTGCTCGTCCATCTGTACAACACCACAGCAGCACCAGGACTGGGACCAGCCCCTCGCCAACCACAATGAAAACTATCACACCTTAGTTTCCTCCATAATACCACCATGGAGGCAGGCCTACAACCACGTATTTCCTTCACAGTACCACCAGGAAGGCAGGCCTACTACAACCACGTGTTTCCTCCATAATACCACCAGGGAGGCAGGCCTACAACCACGTATTTCCTCCACAATACCACCAGGGAGGCAGGCATACAACCATGTGTTTCCTCTAAACACCACCAACCAGGCAGACCTACAACCAAGTGTTTCTTCTACAACACTGACTTCTAAGTGATTTATAGATAACCTGTATGCTCACTCC